CCACCAAAAAACACTACTCATGTTATCACCCCCAACGCGTTGAGAACCACCTTTCGGGGTGTTTTCACGCATGAGGTCCAGGGCATCCAGAGCATCGGATACAGCGATCGTTGCAGCGAGACTCACGGAGAATGGTTCAGCCTGCATCTTAAGGGCATACGGCATGTGGCCCATGTGCAAGAGTGCCAGATTTGGTGGTTTTCCAAAATAGGGACCCCAATCTATACCCCCAAATNNNCCCCAAGAAGGTACCCCTAATCTTGAAAAACTGCCCGAAAAAAATTGAGCTGGCGCGGACGGGAAAGTTGCTTCCTGGCCACGGAAGGTTGCGACGAAGAGCCTGTTATGCTGAGACCTCAGCTCCGTATTATGTGTACTATAGTCTGAACTCCTTTAAGGGGGTTTTATATTTATGGGGGATATGTACGAGGCTACTATAGGGGTTATTAAGCGGGATACTAGGAGGTTAGACAATGGCTCATATACCCCTATGTAATCGTGTATCTTATAACGCCTGTATGTAGAACCTATGTAACCCTGTAGAACCCAATACAGGCCTACATAGAGTTATATAGAGCTGTTTAGGCCTATAGAGGGTTCTACAGTGGTAAGCGACGTATCATCGCTGCAGGTGTAAAAGGATGTCAAGCAATGTTGCGTGTGCTTGCCATGCAGGAATCACCTTGTGCACTTGTACAGAGACCTTGCCATGAAGAATTATGGCCTGGCCCCAAGACTGGCCCGTGGTTAGCTAGAAATGAAGGAATGGATCCTTGTAGTGGTTCCTATATAACCCATTATAGCAGTTGCCATTGTCTTTTCTATTCCTTCATTCCCAGCTAACCAAAGGCTTCCAGAGAGACCAGCAGAGCTGGGACATTGGGTGATTCCTCTTTCCTTCCACACGGTGGGCAGGTGTGGCATTTTCGCCGACGATAAAGCTTCCAGGGAGCACGACAGTTTGCCTGGGCAATGCTGTGCCCAGACTCAGTCATTTGAGAAGTTTGAAAGGGGAATTGTCATGGTTTTCATGGTGGCGCAGAGTTTCCATTTTCTTTTCCATTATCCCTATATAACCCCAATATATCATAGTAATTTCCATTATCCCAATAGTATCCCAATATAACCCCAGTGATTGGCAACAGCAACCCGAAAGCTCTTGTTTCGGTGTGGTTGGCCCAGGTGTTTTGGAAGCGCTCCAGATGGCAGGCCACCTCATGTCCTTTGAAGCATCTGGAAGCTTCGAGCTTGTATCGGGGTAGTATTTGGATTATATAGGGGTTACATTGGGGTAATCTTAGGATTGAATAGGGGTTATATGTGTTGCCAAGTTGGGACAGTGATGTAATGTGGTTGGTGGTGAGGGAAAAGCTCGGCAGGTTACTGGACCTGCACTGGCGCACTTTCTACAGATGCACGTAAAGCAACTAGTTAGCAACAATCACCCCGTAAAGTGCATACCCTACAGCTCTTGCATGGTGTTGCATTGTAGTTCGCTTGCATTCGCACAGCTGCGTGCAGTTGAAGAAGTTCTGGGCAATGCCGAACTGCGCGGTTTGCACAGAGCTGGCAGCCAAGTTTACAAAATAGTCTACGGCTTCCTAATGCTTGCGGCATTTCCACGCTCTCAATGCCGACCTTCTTGTAGCTAAGGCTGACCTCGCGCACCAAGTGCCCTGGCCTGGTGGTTTGCTGCAGCAAGTCGCCGGGAGTCTACGCGATCGAATGGGGCAGAGGGCTAAGACTTCAATCATAGATTTCTCTTGGCAATTACCGATAGCTCAATCCTGCAATGCAGGTGAGCAGCTTGGCAAGGAAGTGCTCTTGAATGAGTCGTGGCCTAAGGATGGGATCCGAGCTTCAAGATCAGTCGTCATCGACTGGATGCCTGTAATATAACTTTAAAGAAAATCCCGTACGCTGGAACGAAAGCTCATACATGTTATATCATATTGTATCTATTGTTTCATGTGTGAGGCTGGGCCCACTCCAGTCACAAGTTTTGCAGACAGCCGCTGCGCAGAACGCAAGGCCGTGCGCTTGTATCCTTCTAGATTTTTGCTGGTACCTTAAAGGTCTAGTTTCCATTTCTCCATCATCCCCATATAACCCCAATACAACCCGAATATTACCCCAATGGGTTAATCAATTAGCCATTAGCCTCATTAAGCCATGGCTGACTGCAGAGGCCCATTTGGTGCGGCGATTTCGGCCTTAGTGCCAAGGTTACTGGATTGCAAAGCAGTGGCATGGCCCAGGTTGTACAGGGTTTAGGGTTTGCGGTTTAGGGTTGAAAGTCCTGATGGTATCACATTTTCATCTTTTGCAGATGTTGAGTGAGAGGGGGGGGGGAGGAGAATCAGTTTTGCTGACGTAGAAGCCGACCAAGGACTTGCTGGAAGGCTTGGCGCAGGCGACTTGTTGCTTGCCCCAATATCCATACCCCCAGGTTCCATTTCATGTTCCATTTCCTTTTCCATACCTTATATAACCCCACTATACCCTACACGCTCTATATAACCCCAATATGATAGTAGTTTCCA